AAGGTAGGCGAATGATGATTCACCAATTTCCACATGAAAAACGAAATAATTTATTAGGTTTTAATTGGATTTGAAATTCCTAGATCTTTTGAGATTCATTGAACTTTTCAATGCATGTTTCAATCTCGACTGTGCCCTCTCAAATTTTGTACTGGGTGCCGAGGATCACAAAACAAGGTGTGAATAACCATACCAATTCACTGGTACCCTTAATATTATCACCTAATCAATGTGCCGGTTAACACACACGCTCCATTGATCTATGACAAACATTAAGTTCACCCTTCGTGATCCTTACTAGTGCAAGTTAGTGTCGTTAACCACACCGCTCCACCAACGACTTGGTAAGTCAAAGTGTGAATTCCATGGGCTAGCACCAAATTCACATTTTTCCTAAAGTAACTAAGATTGGGAATTAAATAAAAAAATATTTAGTTACTTTATAATAATCATTATACTTTTAATGAGAATTTAAAGTCATTGTCCTACCCGTTCGGCTAACGACCCTCTACCGATCAAGCAAGCGGTGGGTGAGAGTGGACACCCATTAAGTCGCCATTTTACAGGCAACAACCTTATAGACCAGCTTCGTGAATGAGGCCTACTAACGGTAAAACGACTTGTTCTTATACATACATACATATATATATATATATATATATATATATATATATATATATATATATATATATATATATATATATACATATAATTAACCATTAATGTTATAAATAGTATAAGTGTTGAATTTTAACTTTTAAAATTCTAAGTGGTGGAATTAAAGTTTATTAAAGTGTGTGAAACTTTTCCAAATTCCAAAACTTGAGGGAAAGTTTTTTAACTGTTCAAAACTTTTCATTTCGTAACTTATGAATTAAAGGTTCATAAAATGAAGACTCTTCATTTTATGTAACTTATGTCTTTTTAATGTTTGTTAAAGAAAAGTGACCTTTGGATATCCATAACTTGAGGACAAATTATGGACTCCATTAAAACACATAAATGATCAAGAATTAATCCTAAACAATTCAGCAAATAATTCCTATCATCTTCTAAATTAATAAGAACATGAACATGATTATCAAAGTTTCAAGTATTATATGAACACATACAAAGCATGAAATTTTGATATATGCTATTGTAAATGGATTAGAAAAACCATTACACCAACTAAAATATGTTTTAAAACATCAAAAAAGTTTAGGGTAAAGTTTCTAGTCCATTTCCAGCAGCAAAAGTCGAAAATCTCCATTCTGAACCTTCTACTCGCCGAGTGCACGAACCTACTCGGAGAGTAGGATGAATTTTGCCTTGGACTCGGCGAGTCCCCCCAGTCCCCCCATGGACTCAGCAAGTCCGTCATGCAGACAGTAAAAATTTCAACTTTTTTCACTATTTTGCATCAAGTATCAATCAAGCAAGCCTAGGCTTTGATACCACTGTTGGGTTTTGAGCAATCTAACACTTCCTAAGTGTGCATGCAACCCTAATAAACCTTGGATCTATGTTTGTCTAAATACATGCAGAATAATAATTTTCCAAGGTTCATAATCTATCTAACATGGCATGGGGTACTTTTAAACATAAAAGAATTAGATGAGATTACATACCTTTTTGATGAGTTTGATTCTTAAGGAGTTTGAAGGCCAAGCACCAATAGTGTGAATGCCTCAAATGGAATCACAAATCACCACAAACTCTTGGAAAACTTTGAGAGAGTGTATACACACTTATAAAATCGGCCACACACAAACACACATACTCTAGTGGCTATTTCATGCAACATAAGCATGCTTATATAGTGAGCATAGTTAGGGTGAAAACCTAATAACCCATGTCTTTTCCTTTCCAAGGATCCATGGGTTAAAAGCTCCATGGATCATCCATGGACTTCCATATTAACTTAGCCCATTAACAAATGAGTATTAGCCCACACTCTATAAAATATAATAGCCCATAATTTAATCAGTCTTCTTTTTAATCTCTAAATTAATTCATAATTAATTTAAGACTAAAACTAATTAAATAACATGACTTCATATTAATATATTATAACTTATAATATATTAATAAATCGTAAGTATACAATTCTCATAAAATTATCCATAAATCGTTTGGATGAAATGCAATTCAAATGGACCATGCCGGGTCGGGTCAAGTAGGTACCAAATAAGTTATGGACTTAGACACCTTATCCAACAGATTATAGCATGGTCCTTTTTGGGTTGCCTTCACCAGTGCAATTTGATAGGATGGATTTTGAGAATAAGGTTATTTATGGTTTGTTAATATATTACAAGTATAATATATTAATATGAAATCATATTATTTAATTAAAAATGTTCAAGAATTAATTTGGATTTAATTTTATGGTAAAAAGAGACTAATTCAATATATGAGGATTTAATTATGTAAATCAATGATTCTTGTTGAGTGGGCCAACGATCCATGATTATGTAGATGTGCTAAAATAATCCGTAGATAGTCTATGGAGGTTAACTCCATGGAGCATGAGAATGTGGAAAGTCATGGGTCATTAGGGTTTACAAAGTGTAAACCTAGCATGTGTAACACTATAAATAGAACTCTCCTAGATCCAAAATCGATTGCCACTTACTTTCCAAGAGGGTGAAGTTGATTTTGTGCTAGTAACGTATTCTCTTAAGCCTCCTCTTTCATTTTGGTATTTGTGAGCCAATAGAAGCATCACACTTGAGGTGCTCAACCCTTCAAAGGTCAAGAACTCTACCCTACTCAAGAGGTAAGCATCCAAACTAAGTTTATATTGTATAGCTGCAATTGTATGCTAGCTAGGGAGAATGCTTTCGAAAATTGAAAATGCAACTATAATTAGAGAAAACCTAGATCCAAATCATTTAGGGTTGCATGTGCACCATAGGAGTGTTATAGAGCTCAAAACCCAACAATTTCATTGTTTTCCAGTTTAATGAGATTTTCCAGTGGTAGAGGTCATGGTTCTTGACTTGGTAGAACCCTAACAACACCAACCAAGAAGACATGAGCTTGGTCATCAAGAGGAAGTGTTGGAACCATATAGAGACCTTCAATAATGGAACACCATATATCATTTCCTTTTAGTTTCAAGTAATTACACATTCTAGTTTTCCAGTGCTCATATTCATCATCAATTAGTATGGGTGCTCTTGTTGAGTAGTCCAAACATTTTAGATGTTAAAAACATATATCAAATGTAAGTAGTGGTGTGTAACAAACCACAAAAACCGCACAAACCATCCACACCAAAACTCATAATGTGGTTCTAAAATTTTCGCGATGCGGTTTGCGGTTTGTAATAACTGAAAATCACACTATGCAGTGTGGTTTGCGGTGTATATGTCAAAACCACAGGTCAAAGCACAACGTATATATATATATATATATATATAGGTTTACTTTGTTTTTTTTTTCAGAACTAGTTATATGTATAACAAATTAATGAACACGAACAAACAAACGAACAAGCTATATTTGTTTATCGCTGCGTTTGTTAGTTTAAGTTAGACAAACTAACAAATGAACACAAACATATAAATGAACGATATTTTCTCTTTCGTGCTTGCTCGTTTAACAAATTATCTTGTTCATGTTTGTTTATTTATGTTGGTGAACATACTAAACAAACATAAAGGAAAGAACATAAATGAACAAAGATAAACAAACACAATTCAACATATCTGAACATAAAAGAACATATAGTATGGTAATATATTAAAAATTAAATTAACATAAATGAACATAAATAAATGAAATGAACGAAAAAATGGATGTAAACGAACATCATAAACAAACGTTCACGAACATGAATAAACGAACGAGACCATTGTTACAGCCAACATCCTCAATCATATCATGGATCCCGGATCTCAAAGGTATCTAAGGATCCTTAAACCTATCAAGGATCCCATATCTTAAAGGAGTCTCAGGATCCCGAACATACATCAAGATCCTGAACATCACCATTATTATTTTCTAACAAGCTTAAAAGGTATATTTATTTTTTATTTCTCACATGTGTAGAAATGGTCAGTATAAAACTCATACACAATGAAGAACCACTTTAACCAGGCTAAGAATCCCGGAATACCAAGTCAAAGCACGTTGTAAATACCAATTCAACAAGATCTCAAATATATCAGACATTTAGTTACTTAACCTAGACTATATATACACCTGTAAAATACACATTTCAAGCACAATAAGATGACAACTTACTCATCTAGACTCACTTTATCATTTGTTATCATATTATCAAGCTCATCTATGTAATTTACATTCAAATCAATAAGATCATACAAGGCAGATGGTCATTTTCACCTCCAAAGTTTTTACGTCGGAGATCCTAGCGAGGATCAAGGGCTTCCCTTGTATACCAGTTGTCTTATTTTGATTTCAATTCCATATTCACATTAATAACAATACCACGGCCTCTAAACAAACAACTTTATATTCTTCCTCTATTCCTCCCATTTCCACAAAAAATCATCCACCACCTCCAAAAGGACCTCCTGGTTAAAGGAAAACTACAGATACCTTTAAAAAGTACACCTCTCTGATCAATAGCCATGTGAATCTGAGATCCCTTAGATTCCAGGATCCTCCAATTCAGAAATAGAAAACTCTTCTCCATAGGGAAGATGTAAAGAAACAACTAAACCAACAATAGGAGGAAAAAAAAGACTATAATCAAGGAGATGGAAAGAACAAGGGCGGAGATCCATAAACCCTAAGGATCAGCACCCTTGATCTTGCAACCTAAGATCCTAAACTTTGACAATGTATGATCCTCAGGAAATGATTGGGAGATAGGATCCTTAACACCAACACCTACTCTCACTTGGGGTGCAAATCCAAACGAGCAAGCCCATGGGATCCAGGATCCCAAAGAAACCTTGATCACTCCTAATAACAAGGATCCTGGTATCTTGGTGAATAATAAAACTTTTAATACTAAATCTATGGACCTTGATGTAGGAATAAACCTGATCATGGCCAAGGAACTTTATTAGTTAAGGAAAA